ATAGCTTCGGAAATTAAATAATTTCCACAGTAGGTGTATATATCTCAAGCGTATGTGCACACTAAGACATATGTATAAAACAAGTGTATATCTCTGTCTACTGTATACATTTAGGCATATACACCTCTCAGTGTACATATGCCTAAGCTTACCTTAATCCCAATTTTAGGGATTAAAGCATCCTTGACTGGTTGTGTACTGGTAACGTGCAGTCTTTAACAACACACATACACTTGACAAATTCTAACTTAACAAACCATCAAGAGAGAGAGAGTAGATGGATGTTTCACATCAAAACGATGATGGATGTGCAATTTCAGAGGATAGGCAATGGAAGATCTAGAGAAACATAAGAACACAAGACTGAAAAGACATGATATACCAGGCTTGGAAGAACTTAAAACAGAGGAATTATGATTGTTTAGTCTTTGCAGAAGTTATCTCCAATGACTGAAGTGAGAAATATCTGACTGAATTAAAAAACTAATGTTCTTAATGAAATTAAAAATCAATAAATCTTGCCTTACTGACTTACATAATTACTGCATTTTGATATTTTTGAAGATTCTAAATGTATTATTACAGTACTAATTTAGATCCTGCTGAAAGTACCAAGCACAATGTGATTTGTAAAATGTTAATCTGTGCATTATGCCTACGCTGTCTCTTTATCTATATCTACTGTAACTTTGCAATAAAAAAAAATCTTTTCTTTCTTTCTTTCTTTCAACATACCAGCCGTATCCCACCAAGGCGGGGCGGCCCAAAAAGAAAAACAAAAGTTTCTCTTTTTAAATTTAGTAATATATACAGGAGAAGGGGTTACTAGCCCCTTGCTCCCGGCATTTTAGTCGCCTCTTACGACACGCATGGCTTACGGAGGAAGAATTCTGTTCCACTTACCCATGGAGATAAGAGGAAATAAACAAGAATAAGAACTAGAAAGAAAATAGAAAAAAACCCAGAGGGGTGTGCTCACCTATTTGTGGTTGCAGGGGTCGAGTAATAGCTCCTGGGCCTGCCTCTTCACTGACTGCTACTAGGTCCCCCTCTCTCCCTGCTCCATGAGCTTTATCAAACCTCGTCTTAAAACTATGTATGGTTCCCGCCTCCACTACGTCACTTTCTAGGCTATTCTACTGCCTGACAACTCTATGACTGAAGAAATACTTCCTAACATCCCTTTGATTCATCTGAGTCTTCAACTTCCAATTGTGACCTCTTGTTTCTGTGTCCTATCTCTGGAACATCCCGTCTTTGTCCACCTTGTCTATTCCGTGCAGTATTTTATATGTCGTTATCGTGTTTTCCCTGACCCTCCTGTCCTCCAGTGTCGTCAGGCCGATTTCCCTTAACCTTTCTTCATAGGACAATCCCCTTAGCTCTGGGACTAGTCTTGTTGCAAACCTTTGTACTTCTCTAATTTCTTGACATGCTTGACCAGTTTGTGGATTCCAAACTGGTGCTGCATACTCCAGTATGGGCCTGACGTAAATGGTGTACAGAGTCTTGAACGATTCCTTACTGAGATATCGGAACGTTATCCTTAGGTTTGCCAGATGCTCGTACGCTGCAGCAGTTATCTGACTGATGTGCGCCTCAGGAGATGTGCTCAGTGTTATATTCACCCCAAGATCTTTTTCCTTGAGCGAGGTTTGCAGTCTTTGGCCACCCAGACTATACTGTGTATGCGGTCTTCTCTACCCTTCCCCAATCCTCATGACTTTGCATTTGGCAGGATTAAATTCAAGGAGCCAGTTGCTGGACCAGGCTTGTAGCGTGTCCAGGTATCTTTTGTAGTCCTGACAACTGATTCTCGAAAACGATAATTGAATTGGTCTCATTAACTCACATCATCTGCAAACATAGACACTTCGACATGGAGCTATTTCATCCGTTACTCATTCACATGATACCAAAAAACAGCACAGGTCCTAGGACTTGTGTAAATAAAGTGGAGTGATTACAATAAGTTAAGAAAGCTAGGGAAAGAATTGGATTTGTCAGTTAAAAACCAGAGTAGGTGGAGTTAAGAGATGTTAGATGGATGGTGATGGGTAGATGGCAGGAATCTTTTGAGGAACTTTTTTAAATGCGACAAAGCAAAGGAGGTGGGAAATTTCCAGCATTGGCCATGGAGGTTCAACCCATTGTTTTTGATGAAAAGAGCAGGATGTGATTAGGGGAGAGCTGCGTGAGCCATTACTGTAGAATGAAAGGGGGTAAATGCAGCTGGACTGATAGGGATCAGTGACAAAATGTTAAAAACATGGGTATACTAGAGCTGGAGCTTGTATTTTTGTCTAATAAATGTATGAAAGAGGGGAAGGTACCTAGGGATTGGCAAAGAGTAATAGTATAGTTCCTTTATATAAAGGGAAGGGGGGCAAAAGAGATTGTAAAAATTATAGAGGAATTAGTTTACAGAGTATACCAGGAAAAGTGTACGTTAGGGTTATTATTGAAAGAATTAGAGGTAAGACAGAATGTAGTATTGCGGATGAGCAAGGAGGTTTTAGAGTGGGTAGGGGATGTGCAGATCAGGTGTTTACATTGAAGCATATACGTGAACAGTATTTAGATAAAGGTAGGGAAGTTTTTATTGCATTTATGGATTTAGAAAAGGCATATGACAGAGTGGATAGGGGAGCAATGTGGCAGATGTTGCAAGTATATGGAATAAGTGGTAAGTTACTAAATCCTGTAATGAGTTTTTATGAGGACAGTGAGGCTCAGGTTAGGGTGTGTAGAAGAGAGGGAGACTACTTCCTGGTAAAATTAGGTCTTAGACAGGGATGTGTAATGTCACCATGGTTGTTCAATATATTTATAGATGGGGTTGTAAAAGAAGTAAATGCTAGGGTGTTCGGGAGAGGGGTGGGATTAAATTATGGGTAGTTAAATACAAAATGGGAAGTGACACAGTTACTTTTTGCTGATGATACTGTGCTTATGGGAGACTCTAAAGAGAAATTGCAAAGGTTAGTGGATGAATTTGGGAGTGTGTGTAAAGGTAGAAAGTTGAAAGTGAACATAGAAAAGAGTAAGGTGATGAGGGTATCAAATGATTTAGATAAAGAAAAACTGGATATCATATTGGAGAGGAGGAATATGGAAGAAGTGAATGTTTTCAGGTATTTGGGAGTTGACGTGTCAGCGGATGGATTTATGAAGGATGAGAATAATCATAGAATTGATGAAGGAAAAAAGGTGAGTGGTGCATTGAGGTATATGTGGAGGCAAAAAAACGTTATCTATGGAGGCAAAGAAGGGAATGTATGAAAGTATAGTGGTACCAACACTCATATATGGGTGTGAAGCTTGGGTTGTAAATGCAGCAGCGAGGAGATGGTTGGAGGCAGGAAATGTCCTGTCTAAGGGCGATGTGTAGCGTAAATGTTATGCAGAAAATTCGGAGTGTGGAAATTAGGAGAAGGTGTGGAGTTAATAAAAGTATTAGTCTGAGGGCTGAAGAGGGGTTGTTGAGGTGGTTTGGTCATTTAGAGAGACTGGATCAAAGTAGAATGACATGGAGAGTGTATAAATCTGTAGGGAAAGGAAGGCGGGGCAGGGGTCGTCCTTGAAAAGGTTGGAGGGAGGGGGTAAATGAGGCTTTTGTGGGTGTGGGACTTGGACTTCCAGCAAGCGTGTGTGAGCATGTAAGATAGGAGTGAATGGAGACGAATGGTTTTTGGGACCTGACAAGCTGTTGGAGTGTGAGCAGGGTAATATTTAGTGAAGGGATTCAGGGAAACCGGTTATTTTATATAGCCAGACTTGAGTCCTGGAAATGGGAAGTACTATGCCTGCACTTTAAAAGAGGGGTTTAGGATATTGGCAGTTTGGAAGGATATGTTGTGTATCTTTATACATATATACTTCTAAACTCTTGTATTCTGAGCACCTCTGCAATAACAGTGATTATGTGTGAGTGAGGTGAAAGTGTTGAATGATGATGAAAGCATTTTCTTTTTGGGGATTTTTTTTCTCTTTGGGTCACCCTGCCTTGGTGGGAGATCGCCAACTTGTTAAAAAAAATAAAAAACATGTATGTGTGGTGTGACCTAAGTGTAAGTAGAAGTAGCAAGACATACCTGAAATCTTTCATGTTTATGAGACAGAAAAAATGACACCAGCAATCCTACCATCGTGTAAAGCAATTACAGTGGTAGATAAGACACATAGGCAACATTTAGGCAACTTTATTCCAAAATGTTTCGCCTACACAGTAGGCTTCTTCAGTCAAGTACAGAAAGTAGGCAGAAGCAGTAGAGATGTGAAGACGATGTAATCAGTCCATCACCCTTGAAGTCGTAGATTTGAGGTTGTCAGTCCCTCAGCCTGGAGAAGTTCTGTTCCAAAGTCTGGAACTAACTGAAGATCAAACGACAGTGTTGAGACTGTCCGAAGGAGAGGAATAAAGTTGCCTAAATGTTGCCTATGTGTCTTATCTACCAACCTGTCGGTATTGTATACCATTTTGATATTCACTCTGTCAGACACTGCAACAAAATGGCATCTTGGTACAGAAGAGAAAACACCTTGGACACCTTGGGTGTTTGATCTGAGAGGGACATGACTTCTCAGTGGCTACATTCTCACTAACTACTACTCTGCACCTCTCCTTCCGACAGTATTTAAGTCTCAACACTGTCATTTGATCTTCAGTTAGTTCCAGACTTTGGAACAGAACTTCTCCAGGCTGAGGGACTGACAACCTCAAATCTACGACTTCAAGGGTGATGGACTGATTACATCGTCTTCACATCTCTACTGCTCCTGCCTACTTTCTGTACTTGACTGAAGAAGCCTACTGTGTAGGCGAAACGATTCGGAATAAAGTTGCCTAAATGTTGCCTATGTGTCTTATCTACCAACCTGTCGGTATTGTATACCATTTGATATTCACAAAGTAATTACAGGCTTTCATTTTACACTCACTTGGCAGGACAGTAGTACCTCCCTGGGTGGTTGCTGATTGAAATAAGCATTTGATTTACCTGGTTTAATCTCTTTTCCAGCACAATATTCCTAAGTTCACTGCGTTGCTGCACTTCTCCGACTACAGCAACAAAGTGATCATACAGCTCATTTCGTTCCCGCTCAATCTGCAAGTAATTTATAAAATTAGGAAACAAATGATTACTGCATCATCATAATTGAAGAATCATGCTAACTGGACATTCAAAATTACTATTTCCCAAAACAGAATATTTAGGTTATCTGAAAATTTGCCACCAGGAAAAGAAATTGTAATTATTTTTATATTTTTTAACACATTGGCCGTCTCCCACTGAGGCAGGGTGACCCAAAAACAAAAACATTTTCACCATCATTCACACATAATCTCTGTCTTTGCTGAGGTGCTCAGATAAGACAGTTCAGATGTCACTTCAAATAGTCACCCCTCAAGGAAGGTTCCTTGATGTTGGTGAGGGGCTCTTGATTTAGGGAATTGGATCTGTGCTCCAGTTCCCCGAATTAAGCCTGAATGCCTTCCACATCCCCCCCCCCCAGGCGCTGTATAATCCTCCGGGTTTAGCGCTTCCCCCTTGATTATAACAATAATTCAAATAGTCATTATCCCAAACCCTTCCTTTAAAGTGCAGGCATTGCACTTCCCACCTCCAGGACTCAAGTCCAGCTAACCGGTTTCCCTGAATCCCTTCACAACATATTACCCTGCTCACACTCCAATAGTTATTATTAAATTCATGGAAAAGCACTAAACCTGCAGGGGCCATGCAGCACTTGTGGACTTTGATTAAAGGGAAAGGTAGCTCAAATTCCTTGTCTAGAGAGCCCTTCCCAACATAAGACATCTGCATGAAGGATATTAAAGTTCTAAGATAGGGTATATTACATAAAGTTTAGCAAGGTTAAGTTAAAAATGAGACAAATGCAGTTACGTATATAGACCTTCATAGCGATGTTCTGCCCACACACTGAGCTTTATTAAATCACAGAGAAACTTGGTAAGGATGATGAGCAAATATACAGTACAGTGAACAGCAGTGAGGTGAAGAAAAATAAGCAAGTGTGGGTTATCCCATATTGATTCCCAAGTATTCTAGTTTTCTGGCAAGAGGTTCACTAAGTTGTAGAATTCTTTTGTTATTCTGGTTGACATTGAAGTTAATGATAAGTGCAGAGCCAATTACACCTACCATCCGACTTACGACCGAGTTCGGTTCCGAGAAACCGGTCGTAAGTCGAAATGTTCGTAAGTCGAACTTTACTACTGAATATCAACAAAACATTTTTGTAATGACTTTATTTTATTGTTTTATTTTGGTATTTCATTTTTTACTTTACTTTTTATGTTGTTAGTACTGTATTTTATACTGTAAGGTTTAGGATAAACACTGTGTACAACACAAATAGTTGTTTATTTCCCAGAAATTTGGCATAAAAAACACGGTTGTAAGTCCAGTGGTCGTAAGTCGAGCAGGTCGTAAGTCGGATGGTAGGTGTACTTTTCTTCTCTGTTTTGCCCACACAGTGGGCTTTATTAAGTTACACAGGAAAAACGTCAATAAAGGGTTGCACTATACTGAATTTCTCTTTCTTCTTTTCATTTATCAGTACTTTGTAACATCTCTCTCCAATATTACTGAATGTTCAAAAAAAATAAAGTTTGAGTTTCAAGTGAATAAATAGTAAAATAAAATGAAGGCAAAGCAACACAAAGCATACCGTTTCAGCTTTCTTGTTGAGAACCTCAAACTCCCACTGTAAGGCTTCTTTCTCACTTGTTAGTACCTTCACCTGTGCTTGACTTGTCTGAAATATAAAGATACAATGTGTAATTATAGTTTTTGGTTTGCTACGTACAAAGAAAGCCACTATCATGCCGGAGCAAGATTGGAAATTATATACAGTGTCATCGTATAATACTACTACAGTAATACTACTACTACTACTACCAATAATAATAATAATAGTATAATAATAACACAATATATCATCAATTATTGTAAATCAGTTACTCAGCGCTTAACATTAACCAGCGGTCTTTTTCAATCTGCCATCTTAGCTGATAATGCTAAAAACAAAATTCCCACGAAAAAGGAACCATAAAGAAAATGATGTGATCCCCCAGTATGGTTGAAAATGTGGCACACCCTCCTCTACAAGGCTACCAGATAATCAGTGATCTTCTGCAATCCAGTACTTGGGTGTTAGTCAACTGCTGTAAGTTGCATCCTGGGGAACAGGACCAAAGGACTCCAGTGGAAATCAGCCACATTACTTGGCTTTCTTGAGTTATCCTGGGTTAATAAACATGCAGAGTTAATAATCCCAAAAGTCAAAGTCTTCTCTGAAATATTATATAGTATCTCACTTCTAGTTATTGCATTACACTGAATAAGTCACGGCAAATCCTTAGTAACTTGTAGTATACCTGGAGTACACCTGCAACCAGTAACTTGAATTACTTTTCCCCTAAGCTGAAATTTGTTTACTTCAGAGAGTATAAACCATTTACCTTACCAGATAACTCTCCTTGTCCCTTTGTGAGCGCTGAACGGATCGCTGGGTGTCAAATAATTTTTTACGGAGATTAGCGACTTCATCTTCCAAACGTGATCGACTTGTAATGGCAGCACCCATTTCTTGTTCCAGCTTATGTTCGCGTTCCTTTTGTTCTGCTAACTCAGCCTGTTAATATATTACAGAGATAAGCATGGAGATATAATGACACATTTGTCTCTTTTGAACTAGATTCTTAAGTTGGAAATATTAAATGAGGAATGAGCATGTTACGGTTCAGAGGGTTATTGGAAGTGTGATGCAAGCATGCTTCTGGCAAGACAGTGACTGAAGGAATGACAGGGAAGGGAATGCTCCCTCTTTTGTGGGTCATCTTATCTAGGTGGGAGATGGCCAGTGTACTAAAATATATCTTTCTTTCTTTCAACACACCGGCCATATCCCACCGAGGCGGGGTGGCCCAAAAGAAAAAACGAAAGTTTATCCTTTTACATTTAGTAATATATACAGGAGAAGGGGTTACTAGCCCCTTGCTCCCGGCATTTTAGTCGCCTCTTACAACGCGCATCGCTTACAGAGGAAGAATTCTGTTCCACTTCCCCATGGAGATAAGAGGAAATAAACAAGAATAAGAACTAGAAAGAAAATAGAAGAAAACCCAGAGGGGTGTGTATATATGTGCTTGTACATGTATGTGTAGTGTGACCTAAGTGTAAGTAGAAGTAGCAAGACATACCTGAAATCTTGCATGTTCATAGGACAGAAAAAAGGACACCAGCAATCCTACCATCATGTAAAACAATTACAGGCTTTCATTTTACACTCACTTGGCAGGACGGTAGTACCTCCCTGGGCGGGTGCTGTCTACCAACCTACTACCTGGTTATAGGAGGGTGGGGGCAGGAGGAAAGAGGAGTGACTGGTGGAATGATGAAGTAAAGGGTGTGATAAAAGAGAAAAATGTAGCTTATGAGAGGTTTTTACAAAGCAGAAGTGTTATAAGAAGAGTAGAGTATATGGAGAGTAAAAGGAAGGTGAAGAGAGTGGTGAGAGAGTGCAAAAGCAGAGCAGATGATAGAGTGGGAGAGGCACTGTCAAGAAATTTTAATGAAAATAAGAAAAAATTTTGGAGTGAGTTAAACAAGTTAAGAAAGCCTAGGGAACGAATGGATCTGTCAGTTAAAAAGAGAGTAGGGGAGTTAGTAGATGGGGAGATGGAAGTATTGGGCAAGAATATTTTGAGGAACTTTTAAATGTTGACGAAGAAAGGAAGGCGGTAATTTCATGCACTGGCCAGGGAGGTATACCATCTTTTAGGAGTGAAGAAGAGCAGGATGTTGTGAGTGTGGGGGAGGTGCATGAGGCATTATGTAGAATGAAAGGGGGTAAAGCAGCTGGAACTGATGGGATCATGACAGAAATGTTAAAAGCAGGGGGGGATATAGTGTTGGAGTGGTTGGTATTTTTGTTTAATAAATGTATGAAAGAGGGGAAGGTATCTAGGGATTGGCAGAGAGCATGTATAGTCCCTTTATATAAAGGGAAGGGGGACAAAAGAGACCGTAAAAATTATAGAGGAATAAGTGTAATGAGTATACCAGGAAAAGTGTACATTAGGGTTATTATTGAAAGAATTAGAGGTAAGACAGAATGTAGAATTGCGGATGAGCAAGGAGGTTTTAGAGTGGGTAGGGGATGTGTAGATCAAGTGTTTACATTGAAGCATATATGTGAACAGTATTTAGATAAAGGTAGGGAAGTTTTTATTGCATTTATGGATTTAGAAAAGGCATATGACAGAGTGGATAGGGGAGCAATGTGGCAGATGTTGCAAGTATATGGAATAGGCGGTAAGTTACTAAATGCTGTAAAGAGTTTTTATGAGGATAGTGAGGCTCAGGTTAGGGTGTGTAGAAGAGAGGAAGCCTACTTCCTGGTCAAAGTAGGTCTTAGACAGGGATGTGTAATGTCACCATGGTTGTTCAATATATTTATAGATGGGGTTGTAAAAGAAGTAAATGCTAGGGTGCTCGGGAGAGGGGTGGGATTAAATTATGGGGAATCAAATACAAAATGGGAAATGACACAGTTACTTTTTGCTGATGATACTGTGCTTATGAGAGACTCTAAAGAGAAATTTGTGGGAGTGTGTGTAAAGGTAGAAAGTTGAAAGTAAACATAGAAAAGAGTAAGGTGATGAGGGTATCAAATGATTTAGGTAAAAAAAAATTAGATATCAAATTGGGGAGGAGGAGTATGGAAGACATGAATGTTTTCAGACATTTGGAAATTGACGTGTCAGCAGATGGATTTATGAAGGATGAGGTTAATCATAGAATTGATGAAGGAAAAAAGGTGAGTGGTGCATTGAGGTATATGTGGAGACAAAAAATGTTATCTAAGGAGGCAAAGAAGGGAATGTATGAAAGTATAGTAGTACCAACACTCTTATATGAGTGTGAAGCTTGGGTTGTAAAAGCTGCAGCGAGGAGGCTTTTGGAGGCAGTGGAGATGTCCTTTCTAAGGGCAATGTGTGGTGTAAATACATGTATTATGCAGAAAACTCGGAGTGTAGAAATTAGAAGGTGTGGAGTTATTAAAAGTATTAGTCAGAGGGCTGAAGAGGGGTTGTTGAGGTGGTTTGGTCATTTAGAGAGAATGGATCAAAGTAGAGTGACATGGAGAACGTATAAATCTGTAGGGGAAGGAATGCGGGCTAGGGGTCGTCCTCGAAAAGGTTGGAGGGAGGGGGTACAGGAGGTTTCGTGGGTGAGGAGCTTGGACTTCCAGCAAGTATGCGTGAGCGTGTTAGATAGGAGTGAATGGAGACGAATGGTATTTGGGACCTGACAAGCTGTTGGAGTGTGAGCAGGGTAATATTTAGTGAAGGGATTTAGGGAAAACCGGTTATTTTATAGAGCCGGACTTGTGTCTTGGAAATGGGAAGTATAATGCCTGCACTTTAAAGGAAGGGTTTAGGATATTGGTAGTTTGGAGGGATATGTTGTGTATCTTTATACATATATACTTCTAAACTGTTGTATTCTGAGTACCTCTGCAAAAACAGTGATTATGTGTGAGTGAGGTGAATGTGTTGAAAGATGATGAAAGTATTTTCTTTTTGGGGATTTTCTTTCTTTTTGGGTCGCCCTGCCTCGGTGGGAGCTGGCCGACTTGTTAAAAAAAAAAAAAAAATAAATAAACACACACACACACACACACACACACAAACATGTACCCCTTTGTACAATATATTTTTTTATTATTTATTATCACACTGGCCGATTCCCACCAAGGCAGGGTGGCCCGAAAAAGAAAAACTTTCACCATCATTCACTCCATCACTGTCTTGCCAGAAGGATGCTTTACACTACAGTTTTTAAACTGCAACATTAACACCCCTCCTTCAGAGTGCAGGCACTGTACTTCCCATCTCCAGGACTCAAGTCCGGCCTGCCGGTTTCCCTGAACCCCTTCATAAATGTTACTTTGCTCACACTCCAACAGCACGTCAAGTATTAAAAACCATTTGTCTCCATTCACTCCTATCAAACACGCTCATGCATACCTGCTGGAAGTCCAAGACCCTCGCACACAAAACCTCCTTTACCCCCTCTCTCCAACCTTTCCTAGGCGACCCCTACCCCGCCTCCTTCCACTACAGACTGATACACTCTTGAAGTCATTCTGTTCGCTCCATTCTCTCTACATGTCCGAACCACCTCAACAACCCTTCTCAGCCCTCTGGACAACAGTTTTGGTAATCCCGCACCTCCTCCTAACTTCCAAACTACGAATTCTCTGCATTATATTCACACCACACATTGCCCTCAGACATGACATCTCCACTGCCTCAGCCTTCTCCTCGCTTGCAACATTCATCACCCATGCTTCACACCCATATAAAAGTGTTGGTTAAAACTATACTCTCATACATTCCCCTCTTTGCCTCCAAGGACAAAGTTCTTTGTCTCCACAGACTCCTAAGTGCACCACTCACTCTTTTTCCTCATCAATTCTATGTTTCACCTCATCTTTCATAGACCCATCCGCTGACACGTCCACTCCCAAATATCTGAATACATTCACCTCCTCCATACTCTCTCCCTCCAATCTGATATTCAATCTTTCATCACCTAATCTTTTTGTTATCCTCATAACTTACTCTTTCCTGTATTCACCTTTAATTTTCTTCTTTGCACACCCTACCAAATTCATCCACCAGTCTCTGCAACTTCTCTTCAGAATCTCCCAAGAGCACAGTGTCATCAGCAAAGAGCAACTGTGACAACTCCCACTTTGTGTGTGATTCTTTATCTTTTAAACTCCACGCCTCTTGTCAAGACCCTCGCATTTACTTCTCTTACAACCCCATCTATAAATATATTAAACAACCACGGTGACATCACACATCCTTGCTAAGGCCTACTTTTACTGGGAAATAATTTCCCTCTTTCCTACATACTCTAACTTGAGCCTCACTATCCTCGTAAAAACTCTTCACTGCTTTCAGTAACCTACCTCTACACCATACACTTGCAACATCTGCCACATTGCCCCCTATCCACCCTGTCATACGCCTTTTCCAAATCCATAAATGCCACAAATACCTCTTTAGCCTTATCTAAATACTGTTCACTTATATGTTTCACTGTAAACACCTGTCACACACCCCTACCTTTCCTAAAGCCTCCTTGTTCATCTGCTATCTTATTCTCCGTCTTACTCTAATTCTTTCAATAATAACTCTACCATACACTTTACCAGGTATACTCAGCAGACTTATTCCCCCTATAATTTTTGCACTCTCTTTTATCCCCTTTGCCTTTATACAAAGGAAACTATGCATGCTCTCTGCCAATCCCAAGGTACCTTACCCTCTTCCATACATTTATTAAATAATTGCACCAACCACTCCAAACTATATCCCCACCTGCTTTTAACATTTCTATCTTTATCCCATCAATCCCGGCTGCCTTACCCCTTTCATTTTACCTACTGCCTCCACGAACTTCCCCCACACTCACAACTGGCTCTTCCTCACTCCTACAAGATGTTATTCCTCCTTGCCTATACACGAAATCACAGCTCCCTATCTTCATCAACATTTAACAATTCCTCAAAATATTCCCTCCATCTTCCCAATACCTCTAACTCTCCATTTAATAACTCTCCTCTCCTATTTTTAACTGACAAATCCATTTGTTCTCTAGGCTTTCTTAACTTGTTAATCTCACTCCAAAACTTTTTCTTATTTTCAACAAAATTTGTGATAACATCTCACCCACTCTCTCATTTGCTCTCTTTTTACATTTGCTTCACCATTCTCTTAACCTCTCTCTTTTTCTCATATACTCTTCCCTCCTTGCATCACTTCTACTTTGTAAAAACTTCTCATATGCTAACTTTTTCTCCCTTACTACTCTCTTTACATCATCATTCCACCAATCGCTCCTCTTCCCCCCCGCACCCACTTTCCTGTAACCACAAACTTCTGCTGAACACTCTAACACTACATTTTTAAACCTACCCCATACCTCTTCGACCCCATTGCCTATGCTCTCATTAGCCCATCTATCCTCCAATAGCTGTTTATATCTTACCCTAACTGCCTCCTCTTTTAGTTTATAAACCTTCACCTCTCTCTTCCCTGATGCTTCTATTCTCCTTGTATCCCATCTACCTTTTACTCTCAGTGTAGCTACAACTAGAAAGTGATCTGATATATCTGTGGCCCCTCTATAAACATGTACATCCTGAAGTCTACTCAACAGTCTTTTATCTACCAATACATAATCCAACAAACTACTGTCATTTCGCCCTACATCATATCTTGTATACTTATTTATCCTCTTTTTCTTAAAATATGAAATTACCTATAACTAAACCCCTTTCTATACAAAGTTCAATCAAAGGGCTCCCATTATCATTTACACCTGGCACCCCAAACTTACCTACCACACCCTCTCTAAAAAGTTTCTCCTACTTTAGCATTCAGGTCCCCTACCACAATTACTCTCTCACTTGGTTCAAAGGCTCCTATACATTCACTTAACATCTCCAAAATCTCTCTCTCTCCTCTGCTTTCCCCTCTCTTCTCAGGTGCATACACGCTTATTATGACCCACTTCTCGCATCCAACCTTTACTTTAATCCACATATTCTTGAATTTACACATTCATATTCTCTTTTCTCCTTCCATAACTGATCATTTAACATTACTGCTACCCCTTCCTTTGCTCTAACTCTCTCAGATACTCCAGATTTAATCCCATTTATTTCCCCCCACTGAAAACTCTCCTACCCCCTTCAGCTTTGTTTCGCTTAGGGCCAGGACATCCAACTTCTTTTCATTCATTAACATCAGCAATCATCTGTTTCTTGTCATCCGCACTACATCCACGCACATTTAAGCATCCCAGTTTTATAAAGTTTTTCTTCTCTTTTTTAGTAAATGTCTACAGGAAAAGGGTTACTAGCCATTGCTCCCGGCATTTTAGTCGCCTCATACGACACGCATGGCTTACGGAGGAAAGATTCTTTTCCACTTCCCCATGGACAATAGAAGAAATAAAGAAGAACAAGAACTATTTAGAAAAAGGAGAAAAACCTAGATGTATGTATATATATATGCATGTGCATGTCTGTGAAGTGTGACCAAAGTGTAAGTAGGAGTAGCAAGATATCCCTGTTATCTAGCGTGTTTATGAGACAGAAAAAGAAACCAGCAATCCTACCATCATGCAAAACAGTTACAGGTTTCTGTTTCACAGTCATCTGGCAGGACGGTAGTACTTCCCTGGGTGGTTGCTGTCTACCAACCTACTACCTTAATATATATGTTATACCCAAATAGGAATAGGGGTGGGCCCCGCTTTACAGCGCTTTGCTTTACGGCATTTTGCTAATGCAGTAGTTTAAAATTATATCCATTTTTCATTTATTCAAATTTCCTACAATAAATATATTCACAACTTACTATAAGCTAAAGATGAAAATATTTTAATGTAGGTAATGTGTGTGTACTGTATATGCATTTTTTAGGCCTAGTTGTAATATATGAGAGTGTACACATGTTATCAGGCTTTTATATGCATTTGAAAGTGTAAAAAAAAAAAGCTGTTTCACTTTACAGGAACCCAGAACCTAACCTGCTGTATAAGTAGGGCCCTACTGTACAGCAGCAGCCCAGAACCTAACCTGCTGTATAAGTAGGGCCCTGCTGTACAGCAGCAGCCCAGAACCTAATCTGCTGTATAAGTAGGGCCCTGCTGTACAGCAGCAGCCCAGAACCTAATCTGCTGTATAAGTAGGGCCCTACTGTACAGCAGCAGCCCAGAACCTAACCTGCTGTATAAGTAGGGCCCTGCTGTACAGCAGCAGCCCAGAACCTAATCTGCTGTATAAGTAGGGCCCTACTGTACAGCAGCAGCCCAGAACCTAACCTGCTGTATAAGTAGGGCCCTACTGTACAGCAGCAGCCCAGAAAAACCTAATCTGCTGTATAAGTAGGGCCCTACTGTACAGCAGCAGCCCAGAACCTAACCTGCTGTATAAGTGGGCCCTGCTGTACAGCAGCAGCCCAGAACCTAATCTGCAGTATAAGTAGGGCCCTACTGTACAGCAGCAGCCCAGAACCTAACCTGCTGTATAAGTAGGGCCCTACTGTACAGCAGCAGCCCAGAACCTAATCTGCTGTATAAGTTTGGGCCCTACTGTACAGCAGCAGCCCAGAACCTAACCTGCTGTATAAGTAGGGCCCTGCTGTACAGCAGCAACCCAGAACCTAATCTGCTGTATAAGTAGGGCCCTACTGTACAGCAGCAGCCCAGAACCTAACCTGCTGTATAAGTAGGGCCCTACTGTACAGCAGCAGCCCAGAACCTAACCTGCTGTATAAGTAGGGCCCTACTGTACAGCAGCAGCCCAGAACCTAATCTGCTGTATAAGTAGGGCCCTACTGTACAGCAGCAGCCCAGAACCTAACCTGCTGTATAAGTAGGGCCCTGCTGTACAGCAGCAGCCCAGAACCTAATCTGCTGTATAAGTAGGGCCCTACTGTACAGCAGCAGCCCAGAACCTAACCTGCTGTATAAAATAGGGCCCTACTGTTACAGCAGCAGCCCAGAACCTAATCTGCTGTATAAGTAGGGCCCTACTGTACAGCAGCAGCCCAGAACCTAACCTGCTGTATAAGTAGGGCCCTGCTGTACAGCAGCAGCCCAGAACCTAATCTGCTGTATAAGTAGGGCCCTACTGTACAGCAGCAGCCCAGAACCTAACCTGCTGCATAAGCAGGGCCCTACTGTACAGCAGCAGCCCAGAACCTAACCTGCTGTATAAGCAGGGCCCTACTGTACAGGAGCAGCCCAGAACCTAACCTGCTGTATAAGCAGGACCCTACTGTACAGCAGCAGCCCAGAACCTAACCTGCTGTTGTACAAGAGAAGCTGTATGAAGCACCAGTATGGAACCTACACTTCAATAAAGAAGTTAATAAACTGCAAGAAGTGCAGAAGTATGCAACATGGCTTGCTCTTGAGCTAAGAAGCATGGGCTACGAGGAAACTTTGTTTATGTTAGGCACTAAACCCATGTGGGTCATTCAGTGCAAGATGTGGTCCACTGCAGACTTGATCCTCTGTCTGCTGTGTGTCTATTTGTACTCGCCTATGTGTTCAATAGCTGCAAGAAGATGCTAATGGACTATATATTTTGGTCATTATGAATTAAAAAGATTTTACTTCCTTGGATCACCTCACACTGATGGGAAATGTTTGAATTTATTAAGTTCTATTTGATTAATTCAACTGGCAATTAATTCCTAAAACACTACATTGTATTTTTGGGAAGACATTTTTATTTGTATTTGTTTATTTTTGTGTGTCTCGGTGTCACTTGTGCTAGGGGATTCTGTAATTGGCTCTGTTATTAGATATACCTGTGACTGGTTTCAAGAATTAACTATGGCAAATACATATATCTGCCATAGTTACTACTGGTATTCAAAATATTCATACAATTCACTAACAGAGTAAATCCTCAATATAACAGACTCCTGATGTAAAGACTTTTAAAATTATTATCAAAATCCACTGGGTAAATTGTACTTTTAACTTATTTATTTTCAATGGTTATTGCAGTACATCTGTAAACTGTGTGTACAGACACCCAAACTAGGGCATACGGTTTTCGTATGCCCTAGTTTGGGTGTCTGGACCGGATTAATTGAATTTACATTATTTCTTATGGGAAATATTAACAAAAAATACATTTTATAGAGAATAACTATAGTTTTACATACAAACTAAGGCATATGAAAATCAAGGATCGACTGTATAGTCATTTATTGCATTTTACTGCTATTTTTTAATGTTATTCTGATATAACAAACACTCCTCATTATGATACATTTAATCATATAGAAATCATTTATATGAAGAGTTTACTGTATACAGAATAGTAGTACCATCACCTTTATGTTGTGCAGTTGTGGACACTTGCACATCCAGATTTAACCTCAGATAACCTAATGATGTCAGCATGATTTATTTCCAATGGAGTATACTGATCATTCTAACCTCTATGCAGTACTTTGTTTCTTAATTAACAAGTGAGGGTACTGGAATTCATTTACCTTTAGTTCTGTGATGAGCTTGAGGTTAGTTGCAGTAATGTCTGTGTAATACTTTTTCATCTCCTCAAAAGTTTTCTCGTGATTAGATATAATTGTAGCCAGAAAATTATTCTTTTTTTCTTCTTGCGCAACAAGTTCCGTTTTGCGCTTCAGATCAAGTTGATTCTGTAAAGCTTTGATTCTCTTGACAGATTTAGCTTCCATTGCAGCAGCCTCTGCTTCAAACTCTTGACGCAGTGAGTCCAGAGACTTGCTATGAGCCTGAAAATTGAAATCTTTCTCATGTTGAAGATACTACAGGGATTTATATGGATGGGGACATACAACAGCACAACACCTAAATCCATCATAACTTAATATGCCATGAGAGTAATCACTCGATCACACTCCAGAAAACGCATCCCCTACCACTATTCAATGTACAAAAGATCCACACTTATTACTGTGTATATTATATACACAGGGCATTCATTACAAATTTCTATTCAGAGAGCTGCCCAAGAGTGCAGATACAATACATGAAACAAATATTTCTTTGATATTCCACATATTTGCCACAATCTGAGGAGAAACTCCATGCAAATAAAAGGCCCAAAAATATGGAAATTTTCTACTAGAAGATTTAAAAGTTACCAATCTGCATGTGCTAACGGCTACAATATTTTTTTTAAAAATACAGTGGACCCCCGGTTAACGATATTTTTTCATTCCAGAAGTATGTTCAGGTGCCAGTACTGATCGAATTTGTTCCCATAAGGAATATTGTGAAGTAGATTAGTCCATTTCAGACCCCCAAACATACACGTACAAACGCACTTACATAAATACACTTACATAATTGGTCGCATTGGGAGGTGATCGTTAAGCGGGGGTCCACTGTATATCATGATTTTGATAACCACGGGCTTTCTGCATATACAACCAAATGTCACCTATCTTTGTACAAACACTGTATCATGCTGAAATAATATTTGACTCTGAATAGATCAAATTTGAAAAATATCTCTGATCCAAACTGTTTATCCAGTCTAATCAACATACATACATATTATGGTGTCCCACAGTGATCTCTAGACCTCACACACTGAGGTCCAGAGTTTGAATCTCCTCTGGTATGGCTGGAAAACATTAGGGACATTTTTCCATAAGACATCTGCTGTCCCTGTTTACCCATCAGTTTAAAATGGGTGCCTGGGTGTTAGTTGGCTGGTGTGGGTTGCATCCTGGGACAAAACTGACCTAATTTGCCCGAAATGCTCTGCATAACAAGGGGCTTTCTATATAGTAGTATGTCACTGATGTCAGTATTGTGTACATATACTTGTAGAAAAGATATTATTATTATTATTATTATTTATCAAAAGCAATATGGATCATAATGGGAACAAAGGCATTTTTTTATGTGGTCTTACCACTTTCATATTAGCAATGATGGCCAGGTAGTTGCTCTCAGTATCTCTCAGTTGTGTCCTCAGGTCTTCTCTCTCTTGAACAACACGACTCTCCTCAGCAAGAGAGTCTTGATGCAGATTCAACAATGCTTGCTCACTATCCACCTGCACAAAGATATTGTAAAATGAAAATACAAATTAAAGAAGTTTACCTTACCTGTGTGTGTTTTCCTTTCCATTAGCAGATTTCTTTAAGAAAAACAGTCAATACAAAAGATAAATATACATGATAGGCAATGCTTTGGTCTGATACACATTCTATATTCTCTGCCTTTTGTCCAAAGAAAAAAAATGAGCCAAAATATTGTATATATAGTACAGTGTTGCAAAAAGTGTGCATGTTTCATCCCAGCGCAAGCAAACACACTGATTATATCACCTGATACACTAGGCACAGAAGATTTACTGAAACATTGCTGCTTAAGGTGCTGGTATTTGGGGCAGTGAACTTGCATTCCTCAACGGGGAAGCAGAACAGAATTCTTCCTCCATAAGCCATGTGTGTTGTTAGAGGTGACTAAAATGCCGGGAGCAAGGGGCTAGTCACCCCTTCTCCTGTATAAATTACTAAATTTAAAAAGAGAAACTTTTGTTTTTCTTTTTGGGCCACCCTGCCTCGGTGGGATAAGGCCAGTTTGTTGAAAGAAAGAAAGTTGAAAGAAGAAGAACTTGCATTCTGCACAATTTACAACTGTCCATTCTTCAGCTGGCAGCTCAAGCAGAAATTTTGGTGTTCAGAAGAGATGTCTAATTACAACAAAGTTGATCTGTTGGCAATCCTTCCTTCATCATAGTAGGATGTTTCAAGCTGTTAATACATATATATATTTTATAATATATTGCCTATCTTCCATCGAGGTAGGGTTACCCCCTCAAAAAAGGGAACCCATTCACCATCACTCATTCAATAGAAGTCTTGCCAGAAGTGCACAGACATCACAATTCAAGCAGCCCTTAGCACTGCAATATCCCTATCTCAGTTTAAACTAATACACAAGGGCCCCCACTTATACAGAGGGGTGTGTGTATATATATGCTTGTACAGTGGACCCTCAGCTAACGATATTAATCCATTCCTGAAAGCTCATCGTATGCTGAAATTATTGCTTTTTTTTTTTTTTTCAACAAGTCGGCCGTCTCCCACCGAGGCAGGGTGACTCAAAAAAGAAAGAAAATCCCCAAAAAGAAAATACTTTCATCATCATTCAACACTTTCACCACACTCACACATTATCACTGTTTTTGCAGAGGTGCTCATAATACAACAGTTTAGAAGCATATACGTATAAAGATACACAACATATCCCTCCAAACTGCCAATATCCTGAATTAATTTTCCCCATAAGAAATAATGGAAATCAAATTAATCCGTGCAAGACACCCCAAAGTATGAAAAAAAAAAAATTTACCACATGAAATATTAATTTTAATACACACAAACTGACACTTACCTTTATTGAAGATCTGGTGATGATTGATGGGATGGGAGGAGGGGAGAGTGTGGAAGTTGTTAATGTTTAGAAGGGGAATCCCCTTCCATTAGGACTTGAGGTATCAAGTCCTTCCCGGGGTTACTTCCCTTCTTTTAATGCCACTAAGACCAGCTTGAGAGTCACTGGACCTCTGTCGCACAACATATCTGTCTATAGAGGCCTGTACCTCCCGTTCCTTTATGATTTGTCTAAAGTGGTTCACAACATTGTCATTGTAATAGTCACCAGCACGGCTTGCAATAGCTGTGTGAGGGTGATTTTTATCCATAAAGGTTTGCAGTTCAAGCCACTTTGCATACATTTCTTTAATCTCTTTCTTCATATCCATAGTAATTCTCACCCTTTTTCCTGCAGGGTTGGCACTAGAATCTTTCTTGGGGCCCATGGTGACTTATTTTGCAGGTACAATCACTAAAAACGCTGTGATAATACGAAATGTTCCGATTGCATGCGTGGATGCGACCGCACTGGCTGGCTTGTGAACACTGGCACCCACGGGACAACTGAGGCGCGCTCAGGCCACACGTGGACACATCTCGAACGAATCGCGTAGGGTGAGTTTTCTAGCGTTAGCTGAGGCAAAATTTTTGTGTTAAAATGTATCGTATGCTGGATTTAACGTAAGGAGATGCCATCGTTAGCTGAGGGTCCACTGTACATGTATGTTAGGTCCTGGACTACTGCTGTAAAGTGAAACACAGCCTTTTTTCACTTTCAAATGCATATAAAAGTCTTATAACATGTTCCCAGGGAGGTACTACCATCCTGCCAAGTGAATGTAAAATGGAAGCCTGTACAGTGGTACTCTGGGATACAAACAGCTCAAAACTCGAACAATTATGTAAGTGAATTTATGTAAGTGTATTTCTGGGGGGTCTGAAACAGATTAATCTAATTTACATTATTCCTTGTGGGAAAAAATTTGTTCGGTATCAGCGCTCGAACAGCCTTCTGAAACGAATTAAGTTCATATCCCGAGGTACCACTGTAATTGTTTTACATGATGGCAGGATTGCTGGTATTTTTTTTGTCTCATAAACATGAAAGATTTCAGGTACGTCTTGCTGCTTCTAATTACACTTAGGTCACACTACACTTGCATGTATGTTACAAGCATATTTATACACATTCCTCTGGGTTTTCTTCTATTTTCTTACTAGTTCTTGTTCTTATTAATTTCCTCTTATCTCCATAAGCAAAGTGGAACAGAATTCTTCCTCCGTAAGCTATACATGTCGTAAGAGGTGACTAAAATGCCAGGAGCAAGGGGCTAGTAACCCCTTCTCCTGTATATATTACTAAATTTAAAAGGATAAACTTTTGTTTTTTCTTTTGGGCCACCCTGCCTCAGCAGGATACGGCCAATTTGTTGAAAGAAGAAGTGAACAACAGAGCTAGGCCTAAAAAGAAAATGCATACACAGTACACAATATTTTTTTTTTCAACAAACCGGCCATATCCCACCAAGGCAGGGTAGCCTAAAAAGAAAAACGAAAGTTTCTCTTTTTAAATTTAGTAATTAATACAGGAGAAGGGGTTACTAGGCCCTTGTTCCCGGCATTTTATTCGCCTCTTACAACACGTATGGCTTACGGAGGAAGAATTCTGTTCCACTTCCCCATGGAGATAAGAGGAAATAAACAAGAACTAGAAAGAAAATAGAAGAAAACCCAGAGGGGTGTGTATATACGTATATGCTTGTACATGTATGTGTTGTGTGACCTAAGTGTAAGTAGAAGTAGCAGTAGCAAGACGTACCTGAAATCTTACATGTTTAAGAGACAGAAAAGACACCAGCAATCCTACCATCATGTAAAACAATTACAGGATTCTCTTTTACACTCACTTGGCAGGACGGTAGTACCTCCCTGGGCGGTTGCTGTCTACCAACCTACTACCTACAACACACAATACTTTCAACTTCTTTCAACACACCGGCCGTATCCCACTGAGGCAGGGTGGCCCAAAAGGACAAATGAAAGTTTCTCCTTTTAAATTTAGTAATACGTATACACAGGAGAAGGGGTTACTAGCCCCTTGCTCCCGGCATTTTAGTCGCCTCTGACGACACGCATGGCTTACGGAGGAAGAATTCTGTTCCACTTCCCCATGGCAATAAGAGGAAATAAACAAGAACAAGAACTAGTAAGAAAATAGAAGAAAACCCAGAGGGGTGTGTATATATATGCTTGTACATGTATGTGTAGTGTGACCTAAGCGCAAGTAGAAGTAGCAAGACGTACCTGAAATCTTGCATGTTTAAGAGACAGAAAAGACACCAGCAATCCTACCATCATGTAAAACAATTACATGATTCTGTTTTACACTCACTTGGCAGGACGGTAGTACCTCCCTGGGCGGTTGCTGTCTACCAACCTACTACCTACAACACACAATACTTATCTTAAAATATTTTTGTCCTTAGCTTATAGCAAGTGGTGAATATATTTCTTACAGGAAGTCTGAATAAATGAATAACGGGCATAACTGAAAACTGCTGCATTAGCAAAACTCTGCCAAGTGAAGTGCTGTAAAGAGGGGCTTCCCGTCCTCTTACCTGAAGCTGCGTCAGGGTGTTCTCCTGGGTGAACATTAGATGTTTCATTTTTTGTTGATATACACTAATTTCTTGTTGATGCTTCTCCTCAGCTTCTCCAATTTCTACATCCTTGTGTCTGAGAAATATTAGTCCAGGCTTTAAAAAGAAGTATACCTGTATCACAGTAAAGTTGAAACATGTTTCAATCAGTTCGTTTAAAAAAATACTTATCAGCAGTATTTCTAATTAAAAATAAGTACTTGGTACATGTTCAAGAGCCTACATGATATTATTTAAGAAATTATACATATACAATTTTGTCAGTGTCATTCAAGTTTTCCCCTTTTAAAAACAATATTTTAAATAATTTTGTTCTGTAGTATGGTATGGTAAACTTGTAGCATTTTATTACTTTACCTCTCCTATTATTCATAAATTTCCTGTTATCAAGAGTGACACACATGCAATATTAGGACATTTATTGAGGAGACGTTTCACCCACCAGGAGCTTAATCAATACAGAGAACAGGAATTAATCACCTCATACTCCTCATCTTCCACCATTTCTCTGCATAAGATTCAAGAAGTCACTGGTTGGTGAAATATTTTCAGAATAAAGATATGCAAGTACTGCACAAGTATCTTATTTATGAATAACCATGTGGTCCATTGAGAGTTTTCTTTATTAGCTTATGATTAATATTCTTTGTCACGGTGTGCAGAGGTTACACTCCACAAGAAGCTTAAAGATTGTAAATTTGTGGGTATAGAACCCATATTTGAGTAGTAAAATGGAGATGCAGTTGTAGTTCCTGTGGCTTTTGCAGATACACATAATATTAGTCAAGCAGTGTGTGCAATTTAAGGCAAGCTGCAATGTCCTGAGTCGCATAACAATCATGTATGTGGATCATGACTCCAGAAGCCACTCATGCATAAGGAGCCATGCTTGAAGAAAATAATAATTACTGTGACCCTGCAGTTTCAGGTAACCAACTCTTGGATAATGCATTAATGCAGTCTGTCTATTCTGGATCAGGGATCCCAGCCACGGATAGTGAGCAGTTGGTAATAAAACAGCCTGTGGGATCACCAAAGTTATGGATGTCGAACTTGATGATCATGAGGAAGTAATCACAACTGCATGTTTGGAAAATTAAATTTGACTTTTTTCAAACATTTTACACAAAAACTGTCTTTACTGTAGAAGACTGTGATGAAATATGGTGCTTATGAACAGTTTTCACTGATAAAATTTTATCAGGTAATTTCATTAATGAATAATAGAAAAAAAATCTTTGGTGATGTGCAGTGTACTTGACATAAACAATGCAAAGTATTCTGCTTACCTAAGCTCTGCCCGCATATTGTCCAGGTTTTCTGCCGCAACTTGCCATAGTCTCTGTACACGTTCCAATTCACTCTGTACATAGTTTCTTTCCTCTCTTTCTCGTTCCAGTTCATTACGTAGCCTGATAAAAGATAATTACAGCTGATCATCGATTATCTAGCAATCAGTTATTAAGCTTCCTATGAAGTTATTATTTGATCCAGCACCTAAACAGATAAAATGAAAAAGGAATGAACAAAGGGGACGTCAAAAAATGAGAGAATCATCAGACGTTGTTGAAAATTCAGTGCACACTTTTTCCCTGTTATGTAGGCAATGAATAATTAATGATCTATTGTATATACAATACACAAAATTAAACTATTTATGATTACACCATAAGAAAATATTCCATAAACATTTCATGGCTCTGCTGATAAAATTAAATGTATTTAACATATTAAGAGGTGCAAATGCTTGGTTAAAAATCTTAAAAAGGAGGTCCCAGAGACAAATGAGAGGAAACAATGATACTGGAAGATTCTTCTTATTATTATCGCTTATATCATTTTATTATTATTATTATTATTATTATTATTATTATTATTATTATTATTATTATTATTGTTATTATTAAATTCAGAGATCTTAAAATAAATCAGAGATATAGAAAGGTTGACAGGAAATACTTAAGAAACTTTCAAGAGTTACCATATGGTCATGAAGGCAGAATGCAGAAGCATCACACACAAATACAGACACAAGTAACAAAAAAAGGCACAATACTGTGACTGGAATGATACACAAATAACCCGCACATAAAAGAGAGAAGCTTACGACGACGTTTCGGTCCGACTTAGACCATTTACAAAGTCACACTGATCTTGACCAGTGTATAAGAGAGATTCAGAAGCAAAAACAATGGATATAGAAAAATATACAATAAAAACTATTTAAAAGACAAGTAGGGAGGAGGAGGTGGCTGGTGATACCAACTGGGCATGTACATCCAATTATCATACTTCTTTGTACAAACATTTATCATGCTGAAATAAACTTCTTAATCTTATTTATTTTATTTTTATTATCACACCGGCCGATTCCCACCAAGGCAGGGTGGCCCGAAAAAGAAAAACTTTCACCATCATTCACTCCATCACTGTCTTGCCAGAAGGGTGCTTTACACTACAGTTTTTAAACTGCAACATTAACACCCCTCCTTCAGAGTGCAGGCACTGTACTTCCCATCTCCAGGACTCAAGTCCGGCCTGCCGGTTTCCCTGAATCCCTTCATAAATGTTACTTTGCTCACACTCCAACAGCACGTCAAGTATTAAAAACCATTTGTCTCCATTCACTCCTATCAAACACGCTCACGCATGCCTGCTGGAAGTCCAAGCCCCTCGCACACAAAACCTCCTTTACCCCCTCCCTCCAACCCTTCCTAGGCCGACCCCTACCCCGCCTTCCTTCCACTACAGACTGATACACTCTTGAAGTCATTCTGTTTCGCTCCATTCTCTCTACATGTCCGAACCACCTCAACAACCCTTCCTCAGCCCTCTGGACAACAGTTTTGGTAATCCCGCACCTCCTCCTAACTTCCAAACTACGAATTCTCTGCATTATATTCACACCACACATTGCCCTCAGACATGACATCTCCACTGCCTCCAGCCTTCTCCTCGCTGCAACATTCATCACCCACGCTTCACACCCATATAAGAGCGTTGGTAAAACTATACTCTCATACATTCCCCTCTTTGCCTCCAAGGACAAAGTTCTTTGTCTCCACAGACTCCTAAGTGCACCACTCACTCTTTTTCCCTCATCAATTCTATGATTCACCTCATCTTTCATAGACCCATCCGCTGACACGTCCACTCCCAAATATCTGAATACGTTCACCTCCTCCATACTCTCTCCCTCCAATCTGATATTCAATCTTTCTTAATCTTATTGTTTCTAAATCAAATGAGCCAACAGATTCTCTGTATTATCAAAGTCCATTAAATTGAGGACCCTTATATTGTAGTTTACTGTAATTTTTATCACATGTTACAAGGACAGATAATCCTATAACAACATATTTTCAAAATTCACAAATAAGCACCACTTACGAGAGGAAACATGACAACATACTGGTCCATCCTGGACCACTGCTGAGTAACAACTGTGAGTGAGTTAGTTGTGAATTGTTCCAGCCAAGGTACTGTAACTTTTATTCTTCATTTTCAAAATATTAATCCTGAAATTCCTTTTTAAAGATAAAGTTAAAGCATACAACTGCTAATACAGTACATTAACTTCAAGTGATGGGATTCTTTAACAAAAATACAGTTGTTAAACCTACTGAATAAAAAGTGACAATACCGTGACTGGAATAATTCATCAAAAACCTGCACTTGGGTAAGGATCCTTACGATGATCCGTGTGAACTGACAATAGTCAAGAACAAACCAAAATGCTGTCTTACAGATCTTCTAACTGAGGGTTTTTGGCGAGTCATATCAGCTGTCATACCTTATTACATGTCCCTCCAACTGCTCCTTGCTCATGGTATTTATTGGTATGCCATCTATGAGAGTCTGTGCCCGTCCACTGCCAGTCTTTTTGGATCCACGTTTCCCCTTAGCTTTCTCTCCTTTCTTTTTTGGTGGCTGTCAAATTTCAAATTCAAAAACTATAATGTTAGGTGGCAAAAAAAAAAAATACAAGCTAAATACAATACAGTACTTTTATTTCTGTGGCTACAATCATGTGTTCCAAAGTAACACTTAGGGTTTATCCTTATTAATAAACCTTACCATCATTATTTTTTGGTCCAAAGCAGAAGCAAACCTGCATACTCTGCATCAAAAGTAATTTGTACTTTGATGCAGTGTGCAGAGGTTTGAATCCTGCTGTAAACTGAAAGATAATGTTTGTAAATAGTTTTGCCAATTTGTGAACTGTTAAAAACCTTACCATGTTGGTAATTGATGCTTGAGATTCTCTTCTTTACGTTACGATGAATTAGTACACACTAGGTTTCCTCTCAGTCGACCTAAAGTCGTTCTTTTTACTTGACGGCTTATACAGAATAAGCTACACTGAGCGCTCCTTTCCTCATGTGTAGGCTCAAAGTATTACCCAAGTCTGCAAGATAAAGAATTATTGAAGTATGATATTTATGAAGTGCCTTAGCCAGCAATATTGTAAAGAGAATATTATTAAAGGTTAGTAATAGAGCAGTTTACAATTTATGCTAGGTTTTATAAAAAAAAGTATTTTACCACATAAAAGCAAATTGGAAATAAACAGATGTAACACGTCTGGCAAAGTGGTGTAACATCTACTTACATTTGCCCGACCTTTGGCCAGTCAAATAACTTAAGTCTTACATTTATGTACAAGAAGCACTGGAACCCAAGCCCCAGGAGTGATGGCGGTTCAGTCCTTCGTCATCATCGTCATCTTCTGCTGCTGCTGCTGCTGCTGATGCTGCTGTCACTGCCACTGCTGCCACCACTGCTGCCACCACTGCTGCCACCACTGCTGCCACCACTGCTGTTGC